CAGGATGATAGGAGTGGTTGTATTTTACGTACACACACACACACACACACATACATACGTATGTACATATATGTGTATGCATGTATAATTTTCAGTTTTTATATATTTTTAACTTTTTAAAAAATTTTATTATTTTTATTTTATGTGTATACGTGTATTTCCTACATGTAGATAAGTACACCCGTGTCGCGCAATGCCTGTGGAGGTCAAAAGAGGCTGTCGGATCTCCTGGGACTGGAGTTATAGACAGTTGTTAGCTGACATGTGGATGCTGGGATTCGAACCTGGGTTTCTGCAAGAACAACCAGTGTTCTTAACTGCTGAGCCATTCTCCAGCCCCCTGAATTTATTTTTAAAGGCGAGCTGTTAGGATTTCTATGATGGTGTAGATGGGGGTGGTAGTAGGTGAGTAAAGTGATAGAGGAGGCAAAGAGGGCTCTAAGGTCTTCAGCTTGAGCAGCTAAATGGAGAGGGTGGGCATTGACTTGAGGAAGAGAGGAATACTAGGTGTGGGGTGAAGGTACAAGTTTGTTTTGCATTGATCATGTTTGGAGAACTTTCAAGGAAGGAGCTTTGACTAAAGGTGGAAACTAGGAATTTATTAGCATCAACATGATACTTGATTCATGGTCCTGTGTGAAATGATCATGCAGGGTTGGTTTGGATGTAGTATGGTTATATATATTAACCTGTTCAGTTCGCATAGTATTCCTTTAGGTCATTCATCCTATCATGTTTTGTAACCAGGGGCCTGAGGCAAGCACAGAGGTAGCAGCTTTTCAAGATAAAGACAAGAAGGATAGAGCAGAGGTTTAAACCCATGGGTGTATTTCTGCTCTGTGACACCTCTTGTATATTGAAGGATAAAGTCAACAGCCATCTTGGAGGGTCAGATTTAAGATATAATGAGCTTTATCATAGATTCTTAAATGAATATTCTCAACAATTACTTTACATAATTTTCTGTCAGTTACCAGAGGAGATGAGACTGTATGAAACTGACTTCCATAGAATTTTCTTCAGGCTATGCTCATTAATGATTAGATGTTAGTGTAGATAGTATATTTGTGAAATTGGCTGTTTTCATTGTCATGATAGATAGTATTTTAAAAACATGAATAATTAAATATTTATTATACAGATTTAGAAATTGGGAATGAGAAATTATAGGTGGGGAGCTGGTTAGATGCTTAGTTGGTGAAGTGCCTACCGTGGAAGCATGAGGACCCGAGTTTATATCTCCAGCACCCATGTAAAAGAAGCTGGGTGTGGACATGCGCATCTTAGTACCTGGGGTAAAGGTGGATCCCTGGATCTTCCTGGGCAGTCAGTTTAGCCAGTTGTGAGTCCTGGGTTCAGTCAGAGACCCTGTCTCAAAAGATAAGGTGGAGAGTGATTGAGGAATGTACTCGCCATGACTTCTGGCTTTTACATGCATGTACACAGACATGTATACACACACACCCCTGCATACACATGTGTACACATAAAGCTGCACATACACATGCATTCTCACATACCCAAAAAGAAATTATAAGTAGGATTAAAAAGTGCTGAGTAAAAGAGGCTGAAACCGAGTGTGTTGTCTAGTCTGCCCCTGCATAGCTGTTTTGTTTCTGAACTTGCATTGGTTTTCAGGACCAGCTGTATCGAGTCCTAGATCTCCTGTAGTATATAGCCTTCCACACTAGAGCTCTATTTTCACACCCCCACCCAAGACCCTTGTACACATATCTGACATTGATGTGCAGGCCATTATTTGTGGCTAATGCCACTGTCCAGAGGCTCATCAACTTCTCACTGTGCCTTTACTTCCCCTGTGAAACACTCCCCGCCCCCATCCTTTCAAATAGTTGCAACATTTTCCTCTTCTGAATCTTAAGACTTGTTCTGTTGTTTTTCTGGGGTGTTGGGTTGAACCCAGGACCTTGCTTATGCTTGGCAAGTGCTCTCC